GGGGACTGCTCCACACCTAGGGGGCGCTGGCACGGCTCGGGCAGCCCCGGACCCGGGGGGCGACCCTGCGCGTCTCGCTCGCCAGGCCGCCCTCGGGCACAGAGCGTGCCCGGTGCATCCGCGGCTTCAGGTCTCACCGTTCACCCGGGATGGCCCAGGTCATTTGTCCTGCAGCTCTCCACTCTTTCAAGTTCTCTGTCTGCGCTCCCTGCGCCCGCCCGCCCATCCTGCGGGCCCTGCGCGGTGATGCCTTCCCCTGAGACCCTCTTTGCGCGCGTCCGCGGGGGAACACGCTGACACCAGCTCCTGGGATTCTGTCCTTTCTGCCCCACACCGGGCCTGCTGGCCGCTCTTTGGGTTTTTCTCCCCATCCTCACCCGTGATCCTTTCCAAAAATGTAGGTGCGAGGAGTACAAGCAGACTGATATTTAGGAATTGACGTTTCCCTTTACCTGTTTGTGATCCTTCCTTCCCAGGATTACAGAACCAGAAACACATATACGAAAGCCATCAATTTCCCCCCAACATTCTATGTCTATCTGAGGACGGTTAAGGGGTGGAGAGCTCCTCCGAGCAGGGATAGCTCCTGGCCTGCTGCAGCCCCAGAGCATATCGCCTCCTCCATAGCAACCCTGCCCAGTGGCGTGTGCGGAGCCCCAGAGTGTAACACAATGCAATTGTATTTGCCCCGCTGGGTCCAAGTACTATCAAATGGTAATATTTACTTTCCACTTCAAAGAGTTTTTATCAGTAGTCAGAGAGAAATACCAAGAAAACAGAGTGAAGTGCTGTGGAGATTTCCGACACTGTTTGTTCAATGGCATTTTCTGATTTATATTCCTGTGACTTTTGAACTGAAATGTTGTGATTTTGAGTAGTGGAGTTTAGGAGTAACTGCATCTGGTTGCCCCCTCTGCTTCTACAAATACACGCACATTGATGGTTCCATAAGCAAGGGTGAAATTAAACAAATACCCACAGATGATGTAAAATTTTAAATGTGGAAAATTACCACCAAGAGAATTGGTTTTATGAATCCAGAATTTATCTTAAGAATCATTGACTTGTGGATTGTTATCAGTATGCCATTTCTGTGGTTTGATAATAAATCTGCCAGGACATCCCAAGAATAAATCTCAGGGAATCTAAAAGCTGACTCCACTCTTGTGTGCTATATCCTCTGATTTGGCACTCTTTTTTTCACTCACAGATTTATTTGCTCTTTTGATCATTTATCAATATTCTTTGATTCCCTACCACATTCAAGGCACTGTGTGAGTCATAGCAATGAAATAAGTACAAATAGTCCTTGACCACATGGAGCTTATATTCTAATGGAGGATACAGACATTGACCAGGAAATGCACAATTTGTCATTTATTCCCATTTGTGGGGAGAGGTACAGCGGAATAGTGTGAGGTGCTGAGGAGACTGTATAATCAGACTGCACCCTCTGATAAATTTCGAAAAATCTTGGTTCTTAAAGATATAACATCTGACATTTGGCAATCCTAATAAGTTGCAGCCTACCAAATTATTCTAGAACATTCTTGAGGACCTGTTCTTACAAGAGCTTCTTTATGTTGCTGTTTGAGTGCTTCTTGTGTGCAAAGGTAAATCAAAATATACTCTCTTCATAAAATGGAGAAAAGGGAGGAAACCTACAGGAAGAAGAAACAGATGTTGAAACTTAAATGCGTTCATTGTGTTTTGTGACAAAGTAGGTTTTTATTTTGGTTGAAGTAGCCTGGAAAATTCATTCACAGTGTTATAGGAGGTGGCTCAATATATTTACCAATTTTTTTTATGTCCTGAGATAAAAAGGATGCTGGGAAATTGATCATATGGTCAGAGTGATGGCTGCGGAAGAAGCATTGGGTCTGCTGAACTACAATGCTTTGCACCGACTTATGGTCATCCAGGCTTGTCTAGAGAAGAGATGTCAGTCATGGGGACAGCCACACGGGATCACTTTAAGTGCACACGTGAACGTCACACAGTGCCACAGTCCCCTGGAGTTTATATGTGACGTAGCACAGTGGAACATGACATGTGGTACTGGGGAGTATGCCAGACTTAGCCAGAAACAAGGGTGACTTGAATTACCTCATTGTTGGGAATGAGGTATGGGGCCTCAATTTAAACTACAAATCTTCTGCTTGTCTCTGGGAATAATAATGTTAGGGGTTTTTTTTTCTTCTTTTTTAAGCATTGGTACCCTCAGATTGGGTACAGTTTCCATTACATCTTTAATGTTTATAACATTTTAACCAAACGAACTCCACGTTCTCTCCTGCACTATAGTTGGAGGGCCATGGAGACAAGGCCTTCTTCTTCCCAGAGCTGGATTTATGAGCCAACTGTGGACCTCTGTAGCCCTCAGGCACAGAAGGAGTTAAATTTCATTAGAACAAGAGATGTCATTGTGACTCTAACATGTAGCTCGCCATGGAGATTAAGAGTCAGGAAGATAAAGACATGTTTTTGAGAAGTAATTAGCAAAAGTCATCTTTGTAACTCACTTAAGATGCTTAACTATATTTGGGGAATATTTTCTTAAATAGAGTATTAAATTCTACTGGGTAGTATTAAAAATCTCCTAGGGAGGTATTTAAAAGTCGAAGGCAGAATAGCACACCTAGGAACCTTATTATTTTAGGATGGATTTGGTTTCAGCTCTTTCTCCACCACTGATTTATTTTATGACATTGAGTAAATCAGTTTTCCTCTGTATTTTAACTTTCCTATTAATACACTAAGAAAAGAAATGATTCAAACCATTAGAATGTCATAAAAATTATTTTAGATAAGGTTTGGAAAGTGCTTCCATTCCTTAGAGAAAGACATGAGGGTTGATGATTGTTAATTAGACAAGATTCTGTTAGGGCCGGCGACATGGCTTAGCGGTTAAGTGTGCGTGCTCTGCTGCTGGCGGCCCGGGTTCGGATCCCGGGCGCGCACTGACGCACCGCTTCTCCGGCCATGCTGAGGCCGCGTCCCACATACAGCAACTAGAAGGATGTGCATCTATGACATACAACTCTCTACTGGGGCTTTTGGGGAAATAAATAAATAAATAAATAAAATTATTAAAAAAAAAAGATTCTGTTAGATTTATGTTTTACAGAATTTAGGGTTTTTCTTACAAAACATTATCCACTTTCAGTTTCTGATTTTATGAGTATATTTCCCAGATATGACACTGCCACATGAGTTCTCACACGATGCCCACTGGTAGGTCGCAAGCCCTAGTGAATTTTCCTAGTTCGTCTCTGGGACAGTTGGTTTAGCAGGGGAGGTGGAGTGCTGGTGAGCCCATGCAGGGGTGTCTGGCTGGTCCCTGAGGAGTGACCGCCCTACTCTGAGCACTCTCGTGAGTCACGTGGCCACCGGAGAAAGAAGCTTCATGGCAGAAGGAGACACGACCTGGAGGTTTCTAGCTCAGGTAACGGGGTGGGTGGGGATAATGTAAACTGAGGCAGGAAATGGGAGGAGGTACAGATGGGGATGGAGTTCAGCAAGAAGCATGATAATGGGTTTGGTTTTCCATGCATTGAGTTTGAGGCTTCTGGAAAGAGATGGAGGGTAGAGACAGATTTAGGAATGAAACAGACTCTGGAGTGTGGAAATGGCAGCTGTGAGCTCACATAACGCCTAATGATGCTCTGGATTCGTCCTTTCAAATAGCAGCTTACCTGGGTGAGTGAAGATTTGTGCCTGGTGGCAGACTGTAAAACATTTGGATTGACTTTTAGTACCTAGAGTCAGTAAAAAAGTCCTTACTAGGTTTATATCATTTCTTTTCTAGGGCTGGTAAGTGGAAGTGGTCAGATAAAACAAAAGAATATGGGTTTCTAAAGTGCTGGGATTTTCACTGAAAAAAGTCCTTTTACCCATTGTAGTGTTCCAGTGTGTCAATATAAAATCATTTTATACCCACTGGCAAGACTGTCTTTCCTATTTCATACACAGATGAGGTACAAAGCCAGAAATAGGGGCCAAGGAGCGACTCTCCCATTTTTGGGAGATCATTTTGATCTATCCGAGATCATTTTGATATCTGTGACAGAACTTTTGAATTGACAGTGTAAGCCCTACGAAACATCAGCCCAAAGGAATTCCCTGGAGTAAGCAGAAACGTTCCAGGTTGGCAGAAGGTTATCAGACATCTGGTCATTTCCATATCAATAAAAGAAAATCTTCTCTTATGTAAAAAAAGGTCCAGAACTACATTCCTATCAGATTTTTTCTCAGTCACATATTCTAGGTACATTTATGCCCCAGAAATACAGGAAGATTAGCCAGACATAACTGAGAAGGGTGTCCAGGAATCCCAGAGATGAAAGGAAGGAATGTGTCGAGAGGCTTAAAAACACCAAACATAGACTCTAAATAGCCAGAGCCCAAGTAAGTCTAGACTTGGGGACATGTGTGTGTTTTGTGTGTGTGTGTGTGTGTGTGTCTGTGTGTGTATTTCTGTATTTTCCCAGCTCCAAAACAGGGGTATGAAAAAATAACTCTATTTAAAAGGTTCCTATAAGCCACTGTAAGACACTTTATAAATAGATGAAGCAGACAGTACATTTTAAATACTAATTATGGGAAAATCCTATCTGAAATCTTCTAAGAACGCATGGCTATTTTCAGAAAGCTTCATTTGAATCTTTCCCATTTCAGAAGTGTTTTAGATAAAGGATCAGCTAATAGATAATATCAGTCATGAAAAAGTCCTGTAGCATTTATCATTAAAAACTTTTGAGACATTTTAGGGATTATAAAAACATTCCCAGTAGAGACATGTGAGCAGTAATCTCTTCTTTAAGGCTTAGCAAACTGTGGAATAATGGCATTTCGTTCTACCAGACTTTTAATTGTGAGCCAACATGGTCAGTTTTTATAGCGACTTAATTCACTTTGTAAAAATCCCTGGCCTGTAGTAATTTCTTCCACACTCATTGCAGATAGGATTATTGCATTAGAAATGTGATTTTTAAATGGCTGAGGCTAGTAATTTGTCAGCATTTGGACGGATCAAGTCAATAAAATTTAGGCAACAGCAGTTGCTCTTGGGCATTACATCACAGATTGTACCCTTCATCGGCTAATAATAATGGTGATGGTGATGATGATGATGATTATAAATGGCTAACAATTATTGTCCCTACTATGTGCTAGGCATTGTACTAAGATATACACATACATATATACATTCATACATAAAATCTCATATAGCAAAGTGAAGATGAACCTGATTTCTCTT